GAATTGGGCCTTAAATAAATGAATGTTCAGCCCAAAATAATATAAAAAACGTAAAAATCACTAAAAGTAGCCTAAAGTAACATGAAATATCAGTTTGTTATAAATTGCGACAGAATTGCGAGATTGACGCAAACTGTGTAATTTAGCACAAATGACCTCAATTAAGCTTCTCTTGAACCTAAATGATGTTTATCATGCCTTGATAATCATCCAAGTTTCGATTTGCTTGTTGTAGGTTGTTTTCAACCCAGATCTGCTCAATAAGGCCATTTAAAGCTTCACGCATCTTCTTAGCTCTAGCTCGCATGACTGGACCTCCTTGGGTGTGTAATGGATCACATGACATGGTAGATATGCTGTCGTCTTGATTCCCATCAGAGGGAGTATACTATAGCTAGGTTGTTCACAATTGTTTTACATACATAGCAACTCTTTGCCCAAGATCCGTGAGCCTTCAAAAGCTTAAACTCAAGTTGTTTGCAGTGATTGGTCAACATTACAGTAAAACTTATGCCACTAAAATTGCTCCATAAAAAACCAAAAACTCTTTGGGTTTTTAATCACTAACACTTTTAGATATCCAATTTTCTTCAAATCTCTGAGCATACATGTAGATCATCGTTAAAGGAATTCTACACTTAGATTCTTAAAGGGCTTTATCGAAGGATGGCAGTTAGATCTATACACTAATGAGGTATGTGTTGTTGAGGTACTAACCATGAAACTTTGCTTATAATTATCAATGGATCATAATGGGATGGTATTTTTATCCTTGATGTATATATGACTATTCATATTTGATCCAAACTAATTGATCTAATCGAAACTAATCTAATTTGATTAAAATTCAACCCAAACCAACATCAATTTGAATTAGTTTGAATTATAAAATTTTAAAACCAATATAAATAGTTTGGTTAGTGATTTTACTTTCAAATTGACCAAATCATCTAATTATAAAAATAACTTAATTAAATAATATAATATTTTTACTTTTGTTTTTTTTATATAAATATATTTTTAGATTTTTTATTTTTGTTCACAAATTGTATTTTAATTTTTCTTTTCTTATTTCACATCTCTTATTTCTTTAGTCTATATATTTTTTATGAGTGTAATATAATATTAATTGTATTGCTTATTATTTATTATTTTATTTTTGTACTATAATTGTACAACATAACTTAATTAACTTAATTAAAAAAAAGTGCAGCTTTAAATTATTCCTTATACAAGCAAAGCTCTTCTCTTAAAACTCTATACCCTCTTAAGCAATAATAGCAGGGGCTTACATGCCTTGGTTGTTTTATTAGCAAGGATGTCAATACCATACTAGAATGCATATTGATTTTCCTACAAAAACAGTATATACCAAATATATAAATATTTTGCATACTGTTTTGAATTTACTGTTATAAATAGATATTATATAAATTAAATGTGTAACTATGGAATGATATTTAATGAGCATTAGAGAAACTAATACCTAAAAAAACTAATTTTTTAGAAATTAAAAATCAAAATGAAAAAATTCATTAATTGTTATTCTTTATTTAACATTAATTGTTATTTTTCTACATATATTAAATATCGATAAAGTTCTTAAGAGGTTTGCTACATCAATAGATAATGGTAGCTAATACTATTAGTGAAAACTATACAATGCAATAGTAATATCTTTAAATTGTCCAATAGTTGTATATATCATTGATTATATATCATTGAGATGAGACATCAATGATATAAAGACTATCATGTGTGATGCTTTGCTAGATGACAAGATTTCTCCTCCTGAAGTCATGTATCATATGTCAGTGACGCAAGGTAAGTGAATAAACTAGACTAACCCGCCATAAGAACTCTACTTACACGTGTCAATAATAGCTTATAAGCTATGATGCAAGCTTAAGTGATCCTTTGACTTGAGATCAACATTATTTTATATGAGAACTTATGTACTTTGATGATTTTAAAAATAGCTACTTCAAGGGGTTGCAAGTAATTTATTTATTAGGTGTATCATGAATCACTTGAGATTAATGGGCAAATCAAAATAGGATTCATCCTTCTTGACTTTTTGAGAGAAGATATGTTTGGCCGTTTGATTAAGATGAGACTACTTGTAAAGTCCATGACAATGGCAAGAATGAAGGTTTATTCAAGAGGTATCCCTATATTAGGAATCAAGGAAAGACACATCAAGCTTTAGCTTGATGACACATAGCACACATGTTGCTTGAAGGAGATATTAGTGGCAAAGAGATTGAATTACACAAGTGCATCATTCATATGAAAGTTCATCAAAGCCATCAATGCTTTTTATCTCTTTAGGTTGCCATGATGAGTTACTAGATATTGCTTTTGGTCTGTGAATATTTCTCATTGCCTCATGATGGAAACCAAGTGTTTCTTATTTCCTCTTGATGGAAACCTAGAGGGTCACACATTTAATTTATTTTGGGGATTAGAATTTCTATAAATCCAGGTTTATGGATATGGATTAATTAAAGTGAAAATAGTATTTTCACAAGAGAATAAAATTAATCAAACTTCAGACGATTAAATTAGGGGAGAGAATTAATTTAATTCAATTAATTCAAGTTTTGATTGTTCTAAGTTAATAACAAGAAAATCCAAAATGTGGCAATTAAGTTTTTGGAGGACTGTGGCTTAGGTGACTGATATGAACTACGCCAACCTGTGACAAAATCGATCTTCTTCTACATTGGCTCTAATCATGGCTTTCTCCATCTGTTGATAATACTCCTCCACACTTTGGTGTCCTTGCCTAAGCCTTTGCAACGTTTTGTACAATTCCCAGTAATAATGGTTGGGCACAAATCGCTTCCTCATCACTGCCTTCATCTCTTCGCATGTTTCAATGGGATATGCTCCTAGTTCCGATGCCTATTCATGACCGACTGATCCCACCAAACAAGAGCATAGTCAGAAAATTCAATGCCTGCTAGTCTCACCTTCTTAAAAGAAACATAGAGGAAAGCACGAAAATAAGGAAAAAAAAAAAAAAGGAGAGAGAGGAAGCAAGCAACATAATTTTACCTTGAGATTCGTGGCTAGTGTTCCCAGTCTTATGCTCAGATTGGTGCTTAAGAGTTGAGGACTTTTGTAGCTTGTCCTCCTTTCTAGAAGAACTTGGTTTCCAAGGATTAGGCCCTAGGTTATGGCCAACACATGTACCTCCCCTCTTCTTGAGTTGTCGCTCTATGATGATGGCCATGTGCACCATGTCTTCTAGCTCCACATAAT